AAAATAAAACGACAATGAAAATAACAATAAAATGATATCAATAAAAAAACCATCAATAACAACATATTAGACAATACAAGTAAGTGCCTGAATTTATCCCCCTCTAATATTAATTCAATTTCCGTTTCTCACAAGTTCCATCCAAGTTCTTTCCTACTGACAAGATCGACAGCTCATAATTTCTCTAACAATCAATAGTGATATCAATTGAATCATCTTCTAACGAGTTTCAAATAACAGTAACAATCAACGAAACAAAAACAAATGAATGAAACGAGCCTGAGCAAAGAAGATCGCCACCTCCAACAGTGACTTATCCCGCAAATCGAAGTACATCTGCACTGAATCCGTATCGTCATCGTTCAACAATCTCAGAATCCTTGCACAATGCAAAACAAACGCTCGTTGTGCATCTGCTCCATTCGACTGTGTCAACTTCTGTGCCAATGCAATCAACACACGATGCACGCCCAAATCAGCCACTCTACTACTCACACATTCACTAACCACCCAACAGTGGTCACGAACACACGCCTTAAGTTTGTGCTATCACTCAATATTGTCCAATGAAACATCATCATCATTATCACCACGAAACCAGCACTCATCTTGAGTTAACCTCTTTAAAGCTGCACGAAATGATTCACTTTTTATGAATGCACACAAAGTCAGTTACAATTCCGATGAAGTCAATCCAAACAAACTGAACTCACCAAAACTTCGTTAACGGCGTTTTCATCAGCCTGAAGTCCGATCTGTCTCCACTGCTCTTTATAAACAAAGTCCACATCGATCACATCGTATCGCTCAGCCAGTTCAAGTGCCGCACGAAAGTCACCGCGTGTTAACTGCAAAAATTAACTGCTCAATTGCTGATTATATCAATTCACTGATTGTGTTATATCAAATCCTTTCTGATTTTCACTATCGTAATCAAAAGCAAAACCTACCAATTTCCGCATCATTTCAGGTAATGTAATCGAGCGAATGTCATGTAAGATGAAATGGTATTTTCGTTGTTCTCTTGCAGCTGGTACGTCTTCTAATGGTTGCCCCACTGCCCAACCCACATAAACCTTAATTATCACTATTCAATCTCCATCAGAATATTCAAATTTAAAACGATTATCCAGAAAATAAAGTCCGTGTCGCGTTTGCAAAATACCACAACAAAATATGTCAAGGCTATTTAATAAAATTCAGGAATCCATGAACCAACTTCAAGACACATAATAATATCAACAAAAATGTTCTCACCTTGAAATAGTCATAAACTGTGGCAAGCAATAATTTCGTTGCTAACCACGTTCGACTGCTCTGATTCGTCAAATCAACCGTTGTGGTCGAAAATTCGCCTTGTGACGATATCAACTTAAAACAATCGATCAC